GACATTTTTTATGCAAAAAGCTTCGCCCGAGTATACCCGATAGACCGGACGCATTTCATAGCGGTCCGGATTTCTTTCTTTATTAGTGTTTTTAAAAATTTCCAATTCATCATGTAATTAAGTATGTAAATATCTAGTGTTTAGTAGTTTAGTAGTAGTGCTAGTTGTTTTTGTTTCTCTTTTTCCTTTGTTCTTATGACTTTTTAACTTTTTTCTTTGTCCTGAGGAAGGGACAGGGCGTCCCGAAAATTTGACAATTTCTATTGTTCGTGTCGTTGGTCATTTTTAGTGCTTTATATAAATTTCCATCCGTGACCTTGTATCTACTTGGTAGATCCGACATTTAGGATATACAGTGTTATTGGTTTTTAGTGCTTTATATATATATATATATATATATATATATATACAGTATGATGCAATATATATTCGGACAAGATGGCGGCGTGTTTACATTTTCGTCCTGTAAGTTACATATTTTGATGTAAATAAAAAGGTTTAAAAATATCGTTGGTATTTTGCGTAGTTATTTTTAACCTCCGATGGTCATGTGACATTTGATATGTCACGTGATTTTATTTTCGTCTGCTTTGTTTACAAATTTTGACGGCTGAAAGTGATATGGGTAGAAAAGGAAAAGAACTCAGTAGTGAGGTGAAAGAAGTCGCCAAGAAATTACTTGATGAGGGAAAAACTGTCAGGTATGTGGCAGATGTTCTCAGTGTGTCCCACTCCACCATTGGATCACTGAAAAAACGTTTTGAAGAGAGAGGTTCAGTAGAAAACATCCCGCGAAGTGGTCGACAGCCTACTGTGACAGAACGTGACTATAGATACTTAGAAAGGTTAGTTAAAGTTAACAGGAGGGACAGTCTAACAGAAATTACAAATAAATTTAATGAAAACAGGGATATTCCCGTATCTAAGCGTACATTACAACTTCATTTACATAAAAATGGATTTACAAGACGTGTATCGAAGAAGAAACTAGTGATAAGGGAGGTAAATCGAAGAAAGAGATTGTCATGGTGCCGGGAAAAACGAAAGTTAACAGTGGAAGGATTTTGGAAGAAAGTTATTTTCTCGGACGAATCAAAAATTGTTATTGGACGTGATTCAAGGGTGTATGTTTGGCGTAAGAGGGGTGAAGGGTGGAGGCCTGATTTGGTGACTCAGCGCCGTTCGAAACCATGCTTTGAGGTCATGATCTGGGGGTGTATTACTTGGCATGGAATTGGTACCATCACGACTGTAAATGGAAATATTAACGCTGAAAAATACCAGGATATTCTTGATAACAATCTGTGGCCAGTTATTGCTCGCCATTTTCCATCTGGTGACTATATATTCCAGGATGACAATGCCCCTGTACATCGTGCGAGAACTACCCAGGAATTTATGCACAGAAATAGAATAACTGGAATGAGCTGGCCTGCACAAAGTCCCGATATCAATATCATTGAGAATCTATGGTTACTTATCAAGAGAAAGTTACAGACACGAGTTGGGAGGATCTCGAGTAAGGATGATCTTTTCCATGAAATCCAGTGTATTTGGAGGGAGATCAGCCCAGACTTCGTTAAATGCCTCTACCGATCTATTCCCCGGAGATTAATGAATGTAATTCGTCTAAAAGGGCATCTCACAAAGTACTAGGTAAGTTTCATTATTTATTTCATGTTTTTTACTGCAATATCTATACTCGAAAATTGACCTAGTTTCGTATCGAATGTAAACACGCCGCCATCTTGTCCGAATATATATTGCATCATACTGTATATATATATATTTGATATCTTTAATCACCCTGCTTTCAAGAACTTCCCTAATATTTTATGCATTAGCTTTAAACCATGATCATTTTGAAAATGATTGGTTTGTTTTGTGTATGTGTAAAAAAAAAACTTTGATCCCTAATTGTGGCCTGACCTTAGCCTGTGAGGTGATGATTTGAAAAACTAGAAATATGTCTTTAGGACATGAATGTCCCACCAGATGTATATTACTAATTAATGCTACTGTACATGAAAGTTTGTATTAGAGTATAAAGTTTGATGAAAATATCTTGAACAGTTTCATTAGAATTGAAACTAAAATCTAAATAAATTGGATATAGATAATAAATTCTCACCAAATTATGTATAAGTGCATGCTTAACATAAAAATGTCTTAAATTATTTCTTTAAAACTAAGCAAAATACAAATTAAAGAGGAGGGAGGTCAAGGTCACAGGAATGTGCAAGGTGAAGTTTTTGATGCAGTTGAATAGCTCTCACTAATACATATCAGCATACCGTATAAGTGGAAATTTTAGCGAGACGCAAATTTAGCGATTTGCCCTGAAAAACTGGTAATTTATTATTAGCGAGATGTTATTTTAGCGATTTTGAAATGAATGTTAAAGAAGTCATAACAAATAAACTGCAATTAATTTTTAGCAATATTCAATTTTAGCGATCTCGGCACCCTTGCTAATAATGCCAAAATTAAATCCTCACTAAAAATTCTACTTATACGGTATTATGTTTGATAAAAATATCTTGAATGTTTTTATAAAACTGAGCTTAACACTTTTTTTAAGAAAAGAGAGTTCAAAGGAAAGGTTGGGGTCAATACGTTGTTGCAGTTTAAAAGCTCACATCAGTATGAATTTACTATTAGCATATGAAGTTTAATAATGGTTTATTTAAAACTTAGATAAATACATATTTTAAAAGTGAGGTCAAGTTCAAAAGAAAATTCAAGATCAAAATAAGTTGATGCATTAACAGCTCTCAGCAGTATGTATTAGCATATGAAGTTTGATAAATAATGTATCTTGAATTGTTTATTCAAAACTGATCTAAAAATTAATTGTAGAAAAGTGAGGTCAAGGTCACAGGAAATATCAAGGTCAAAAAGAGTGAAGCATTGTAAAGCTTACATTAGTAATCTATGTATCATCATGTGAAGTTTCATTACACAACTTGAATGGTTTCTTTAAAATAAAGCTATAAACACTAATTTAAAGAAAAGTTAAGTGAAGGTCAAAGGAAAAGTCAAGGTAAAAAAATATTGCTGCAGTTGGATATTTACATCAGTATAAATTGCATCAACATATGAACTTTGATAAGAATATCTAGAAAGTTTCTTTGAGCTGACAATGGAAAGACAGATGGAAGGGACTGGAGGATGGACATGACAAACACTATACATGTATTCCTAATCATGGCGTGGCATAAAAAACTTGAATCTACATTAAATGAGGATGTTTACATATCAAGATTATACAAGCAAATTCAAAGAATTGTGGTCCTCTGCTTTCTGTATTTAAGTGAATGGGATGCCATAATTTATGGCAGATTGTGTGTCAAATATGCACCCCTATCATATGTCAATTTATGAAAATTAGGTCAAAGGGGAAAAATCATAGCATGCTCGGAAATATTTTGTTGCAGGTAATGTACATATGAAATATGTAATATATATAATAAATATGTAATATATATGTAATATATGATATGAAAGTCCCATCTCTTTTCAATCAAAAGTTATATATTATATAATATAATATTTTTGAAAAGTAGGTTAAACTTCTAGGTCAAGGTCACAGAGTCAAACGTCATGATATATTTAGGAAAGTCTTTTCACATGTAATATATACATGTATAATTTGAATGCCCTATCTTTTCTCTTTTAATATGATCAATTTAAAATGTTATTTTTTTGAAAGTAGGTAAAACTTTAAGGTCAAAGTCTCACTTGAGTTAAAAAATCATAGTACATTTACAAAGTTTTGTTGTAATATACATCGGAACATGTGAAATATGAAAGCCCTATCTCCTATTATTCAAAAGTTATGACCAAGGTTAAATTTATTAAAGATGCACATGCTGTCAAAGATGGACAGACTCAGACAGACAAATGAGATTTAATGTTCCCTCCCTTTTCAAAAAACGGGGGACAATAATGCCCTTGCTCTTCTTGAGAGGAAGATATATGATGGAAAAATCGATCCCCTTCATATTTCTTAACGCAAATCAATATTGTGTTTTATGTCATTTGTTTGTTTGTTGTTAAACATCCCTCCGTATAATCCCTATTTACTGCCCCTGCCCCTATAAGCGCCCCCTTACATGTAGGTATTCATGTATGCAAACTACAGTATTACTACTTGTTTTTACATTTTTACAAGTTTATATATACAAATAGTTTAATGTGATCCATCTCTTTGAATGATTTTCATTCCTAATAATGTAATTCTAGGAGGATAGGTTGATGAATAAAATGTCAAGCAATCTTATCATTGATGCACATTTAATTTAATGCAGTCATATTGTGAACATTTCCAGTTCATTAGGAGAGTGGGGATGACCTCCAGGGGTTCCCAACCTTTATACCATTAAATTTACATAACATAACACAAAAAAAAATATGTATAGTCAAATGGAAAAAAATTCCTACTAGTTATAGCCTATTTAGGAGTCACATGATCATTTGTCATTACAGGGACAGGGAGTGGATTTGGAGACCCCCCCCCCTGGAATTTGCAGGCCTTTAATATATACTGAAGCAAATAAAAATGACTTTGAATGCCCTCCACCCTAGAAAACAGAGACCACCATAACTTCTCTTTTTTTTTTTTTTTTTTTGCTTCTCAGGAAATTCTGGTCTGGAAATCCCCCTCCCTCCCAGAAAAAATTCTGTATCTTGTAACTGAATGTAACGTCCAAAACGGGCGATAACTCTTCAGAATTTGAAATTCGTCTTATTGCAGCATCGGATGACCTTTGATTCTTTAAACTTTAACCTAACCAGTTGCATTTCAGACTATTTTACCCAAATCTATACCAACTCTTGTACTTACCGACTGTCATAGGTCCCGTAAACTTCATGAATCATAATCCAAGTAAAACACAAAATAATTCCTACTGACATATATGCAATGATGTTTACACCACATTAGTACTGCACGTGCAGTCCAATCTAAAAATGATAATGGTAAAACTAGTACTTAAGTTGGTTACGTGACGCAAGCCCAATGTGATACATTTTTAGTACAAGAACAAATTTAAAATTTAAATGTTTTATCTTAACTTTGCCATCTAGGCTTATTTCCAAAAACATGCAAATCGGGTGTGTTTGTGTGTGTGTGTGTTGATCGGAGAGGGTGGGGGATTGACTAAATTGATTGGGTATATGGCAGCTTTCAAGGTGCCTAATCAAATATAAAAAAGTTTGTACATTTTGAAAAAATCATCAAAACCGCTTTGCACTAATTTGAATAATATTATTTGTTGTTAATCTATATGAGAAAATAGATTTTAAAAGTATTAATTATGGGCCAAAAATTTATATCCCCCCTTTATCAAACCTAATTTACTTCATTAATTAAATTCTGTTGTTAAATTTCAGACTGGTAACGAATTAAGAAAATGAAATACCTATAAGATCGAGCCCCATGGGTCACATGGTCACCTAAGCATGTTATGCTCCAGGGGCGGATCCAGCAATTTTTAAAGGGGGGGTTCCAGGGTTGTGTCCCTCTGACCCCCCCCCTCCCCTTTTACACACTCTCAGGCAAAGATTCACACACACATGAATGGAAAAATATAAGATTGTGGAAAATAATATCTTTATTCTACGTCCTTTTTTCTTCGAAACGATACCCCCTGTCTGTATGAAGCCTTATAATTGAATGGATTTGCAGCATTTCCGAAGAGTAGAATGAATTTTCTTCAAGAATTTGAAAATCCTTTTTGGGCTGGGTATAAAACAATTTTTAGTTCCTTCATAAGATTTAGTTAAAAAAAATGGCACCTTCTTGTATATAGCCAACACAGCCAAATTAAGATCGCGGGAATCTAATATCAAATTTAACCTCGCATGTTACATATCATATATAAGATATAAAAAAAATAAGTAGAATATTTTCTACCATTCACTCATAAAAAGTAATAGTGAAGGTGAATGGAAAAAACTTAATGTGTGAGAATCTATCTATTCAATACATATTTCAGTAAGACGTACAAATACTTATTCTCGGGAAACGTTTTATCCCCCTTCTTTCTATCTCTTTCTCCACTTGGCAAAAAATAAAGGGGGGGTTCCAACCCCCAGAACCCCCCCCTGGATCCGCCAATGTGCTCAATTTGATGAATACATGTATTATGTAAATTATTGAATTATATTGACTTTTTCCTTGGTAAAGCCCAATTTGAAGGAGTGTGCATTTAGAGACAAACACCTTAGTGCGGGTATTACTGTCTCATGACAGCATCTAGTTGCTGAATGTCTTCCAAATAATTTTTCTATCACTTACTTCTTTGGCATACATTATCTTTGGATCCGCTCCAACCTTTGTAGCAGGAAGTACATCCACTTTCACAGTCACAGTGACATATACAGCGCCCGTTAAGATAACATTGCGCTTGAATTAAAAAAAGGAGAAATCAAGAGATGTAAACAATTATTGTTATGTGATTACAAACATTTAACCCGTCGTGTTAGGCTAGTATTACATGTTTTAAGCGTTCAGTTCGTGATCTAGAGACCTTGGTTTGATCTGGTTCGACGCGCCGCTTATAACCGGAAATGTTAACTTTCTGCAATGTACACCGGCATAAAAAGTGAAAGTCTCGGGGTTTTAGACTGGAATCTTAGAACTGAATATCATCAGAGCTCAATAGTCATAATTAACATGTTTGTTTTGTATATGTAAGAGAAATATGGAGATAACGAACTATATTCAAGCTCAAAAGTCCATTGAGCAATTCAAAGTATGAGCATGTTAAACACAGTCCAAAAACATTCCAGCTAGGATCAGGTGCCTTGGAGGAGTGAGCATCTCTTATTGACCGATGAATAAATCCGTAAACAATCCAGTGTGCAAATAATGTCCAAACAATTAGTAGGAAAAAATCATTCAGAATTTGACTTAATGATGGGTTGTATTTGTTAATAAGGAGATTGTATCTACCATAAACTTTAAAAAATGATGAGTTGATATCTTTTTATCAACTTGTTTGCCAAGAGCTCGCCTCATTATATAAATTGTTCATATGTAGAGCATGTCCTTCCTTATAAAATCAACTGAGAAACTTCATATACAGGTAATAAGGGTACATTGCTCTCATAAGTAAGAGAAGTTAAACTGAAAAATTGTGGTCATCATGTTTTTCATACAAATAAAATGTTGTAAGGTCTAACTTTGAAAAAGTGACATCTCTAGATCAGTAAAAATATCGTTCAACAATATACATTCAATCGATTAATCAATTATGTATTTTTAAATGTTGTAATTTTTTCATAATTCAATGCAGGACTCACATAATAAACATTACAAAAGCAAAGAAGTTAGCTTCTTATAGTAGAAAATTACTACAGGAACAAACTACGAGGGCTGTTCAATAAATAATCAGGGGGTCGTAACATAAAAAGTACTTAAGTCTAAGACCATACTTAAGTAAGACATAAGTACATTATTTGTCTTAAGTCCGTATCATAAAGGATGCTTAGAAATACAAATCTTAGCAAAACTTAGGCGATCAACATAGGTGACTTAAGTGCGTGTTATACATAACATGAACACATTATACGTAAAACTGTTAAAATTTAACGAAGAATATTGTAATTATTTCATTTGTTATTATTAATAAGATAATCTAATACCTCTTCCAGTCAATAAATAGCAATTATGTCTTGTGTACATGTATATAGCAATTTAAACATATACATGAAGCAAAATAATCCTATAGGATATACATGTGTGTACATTAATTATGATTGAAAATGAATGACAGGTTAACTTGGCCGGTAATCACAGAGAAACTGAGAGTAGTATTCAGAGGTCTGTGAATAAAGACACAATTAAACACTATTCACAATAGATATTAGAAGTTAAGTTCGAATACACAATTACATGTATTACACGACTGGCGTCTGCTTAATATATATTTCTACAAAGTGGGAGGGAAAAGAACGATGCTCTGAGGGAGTAGAAGGCTGTAAATATGGGGTTATCATCCATGGTCTTAGTGGATATGCTGAATCACCCAAGAGCCACCCCTCGCTATTTACACCTATATAAAATATTCATGCATTTATTAACATTTTAAAAATTGTATAATGTTGAGTAAGCAGTTAAGAACCCCCCCCCCCCCCAACGTATACTAATATATATTTTCAAACTTAACATTTTACTTTTTTGTTTTATCATATCTTAATCATGGTTTAAGAGGAAAATGAGTTGAAAAAAAAAATGGAGCATAACACTACCAACCTCTTTGAGGAAGGGGTTTCGCCCACCCCTTTTTTGTTCGATTTCCCTAGTACCACCCCATTTTAATTTAAACAAGAATGTGATATTCATAAAATTATTATCATGAAATACTATAGTATTATGCTCGTCATATGAAAACTATAGAAACTCTATTGAAAGATGTTTTGGTGTGTGGAAGGGCCGTTTTCGCTGTCTTGATAAAACTGGAGGTCCTCTGTTATTTCATCCTTCGAAAGCATGCAAGGTATAAACAAATAACTTTATAAAAATATTAAATGTATATATTTAAAACCAATAATATGTTTTGATACACTATATTAAATGTCCCCTCCCCCCCCCCCCCGAATTTAAGGTGATAATTGCGACAACGGTTTTGCACAATAGGTGTATCAATCACAGGATACAGTTGCCATTATCTTCCGTAAACGAAAAGCAAACCCCAGTGAAAAAGAACGTGACGGAATTTTTAAAGACTAAAAGTCCCCTTAGGACAATTGTGACAATAGCCAGGCGTGCTTAAAGAAGTAAAAGATATTCAGTCTGTGAGTAAATATCACACATACATGTAATAACCAACGCTACATTATGAACTTCTGCACTGTGTAATATTTTAATTCAATACATAAGTATGACTTAGCTAAGATCTTGCTTAGTTCGCTTTATGTTACGGTATAAGACATACTTAAGTAGTACTTATGTAGGTCCTAAAAATGTGCTTAACGCGTACTTAAGACCGTACTTAAGTCAAAAACTTAGCATGCTTTATGTTACGACCCCCAGAACTCTATGTCATACACTTAAGCAATCGTATGTCATTAAGCTTGACTTTTTCTTATGATATAATCTCTAATGAATTGATAACAGTTAATGTGATCACTTTTTATCGCATAGTTTCATTGTGAGAAGCTGGAAAACAAGGGTTATTCGAGACATTGCATTAAAAATGAATGGTAAAGAATCAGTAAACTTGAGTGTAATTAAACGCGTATTACAGCTACTTTAAAACTTGTTCAGAATCCCAAAGAAATATTCACTGAAATATGGCAAATTTACAGCAACTTATAGCTGTTTTACAGACACATGAACAAGTGGATTTCAATGAACAGAAATGATATAATGGGTACTGTCCTATGCGACTAAAATTACAACAACCAATGAAATGTTTGCCAAAATTCGAAAAAATTATCATCGACGAAGTTTGATTATCTTTCAGACACATAGCAAATTTAATAGACATAATTTTGGGTGTGTTTTACACTACTTTTAAAAAACATTTTTAAAAAAAATTGACAGTTTAAAAGCTTAGTACTCAATTGGTATTAAAAATAAGTAAAAATAACAGCGTTACAGAATTTCTAATCAATTATTTTAAAAAGTCAGAAACTGTAGTTTTCAACGATTGTCTGAATTCAAACAGACAATGAAATGTGATTCCATTGCTTTAAATCCTCAAAACAAATTTTTAAAAGATGCACCTGTCAAAAACAACAAAAGTCTGGAAAGAGTAAAGAACTGCAAGAGCACAAAGCCAGTTTTACATGCCATTTTCTTAAGTATTAGTGATTTTGTTGTTAAAATTCTTATTCGGGGAAGCAGTTCAATTCCAATTTCTGGAGAAGTCTAGAAAGCAAAATTTTTGCAAAATATCGTAAGCTTTTTGAGACGAAGGAACCAGATTTAGGAATTCACTACATTTAATTCCTTCATGACAGTGTCCATACCCACACACCCTTGAGAGTAAAGGTGTTTGGAGGATAAACGGAAAGTTAATGTTTTGTCACACCAACAATATTCGCCAGATCTTTCACCCTTTCACTTGTTTCATTTTCCAAACTTGAAAAACATCTTTCAGAAAGAAGAAACAAGTCCAGAAAATCATACAATCTGCCACATTTCATTATACGAAGGGTCATAATCGAAAATGTTTTTTTTTTTTTTAAAAAAAACAATTAGAAATGCGATAAAATATAACGGACATTTGTTTTAATTAAAAGAGAATATTTAAGTAAAATCAATTTAAGATTAAATGACTGAAAAGCGTCTTTTGTTTCTTTTCGAGCACCAAAGACATTATTTATTGAACAGCCCTCGTACATGTATTTCACAGTCTGTTAAAATATTAGGCATGCAAAACAATATTTTTTTCTTCACAGTAAAGTTTTACTTACACAATGTAATCACAAAATAAGTGGACAGAACCATATAAACGAATGTCCAGTTAACTGACATTACGATAAACCATTGGCAAAATTTGTTATATAATTCTTGACTATTCAGGTACAATTTACTACTTCCCTGTTTATAAGCCGAAGAAAATCACTATGTCATATAACATGAATCATACACAATGATTAGCAATTTAAAAAGAGTTGTCGTAGTTGGGTTTTTGAAAAATGTTTATTTTTGAAAACTACTGGTAAATCTTCTTCTCGTATTCCTAGTGTCATGCCCTCTTTGTCCACGCCGTGGTTACTGGACTGTGATTTGTGGAAGACTTTGAGATGAGGGCTGTACACGGAAAACAAAGAAGCATGAGTGCTGACTGATGTAATAAATCTACTTAACATGTTCCTCAATCAACAGATCCTTAACATTCAACAATATGTAATCGAGTTATTTTAAAAGAAAAAAAAAAGAATTTTCACGAAAATACTTTTCCATCCCTTTGAATTTGATGGTGTTAACAAACTGATATTTTCGCAGCGAATTTGTACACACGTGTATTAATTAAGTCTTATATTCATAAGTGGTGTCTTATAAATCACATTTTCCCTTGAGGGCAATTTTTTTTCTTCCTTCAATGACTGATAAACACACGATTTAATGATTTTTTAAAAACCCATCAATAATACAATCCCCTGAAAATAAAACGGTAAAAATGGGATTTCCAAAGAAAAGCCTTCGGTGGGTAATAACGAATTATGTAATTATAGAGCGCCGTTCAAGTCTTAAACGTAATGCAACAGCTGATTCGATTTTCAAAAGGGATGTTATCATTCATTTATTTCTCCTGTGGGATGAAGTATTTTTTAACGGAATGATAAAACGATTTCTTAATTAATCGTTCCAAAGGTCAATGTTTCATGATGCTGAATGCAATATGTACAAAATACCGTGAATTTACTATATAAAATATATGGAGATAACGAACAGTATTCAAGCTCAAAAGTCCATTTAAGCAATGCAAATTAGGATCAGAGCAAATATGAACTTCTAAACACCAAGTATGGGGTTACGTGCAATGGAAGAGTGAGTATCCCCAGCCGATCGCTCACATCCGTCCTGTGCTCGTTGTCATGCAATGCTTGACGTAAACAACAAGGAATATGTAACCTTATTTCAAATTGGTCTGTATGTTAATGCTGCAAAATGAATAAACAATTAAGTTTACCTAACATTTGTTTTCTTTTGATTTCACCTTAAAACGATATTTTAATTTGTGAAAAATACATGCTTTTATCCTCTGTGCAAGCCTATATTTGACACATTTTTTTTCAAATTCATTTTGTCCAATCAGACGGAATACATTTAAGGTTGCACGATTTCCTTCTGGGTTACACCATTTAGCTGCAATGTTAGAAGTCAACCTAGGGAATAATTTTAATTATGCGTTACATTTTTTCCATTTTTGACAAGGATAAATGGGGGAAATCTTAAAGAATGAGAAAGATATTAATGATCTTTTTTTTTCAAAGGAGATGGGCGGATAAGGCGGGCAGAATGCCTATAGCGTCAGATATTAAGAAAAATCACATTTGATATATAAATTGAGTATCTAAATTTACATCTCATCATTGAAATTTATGAAATTATGAGAGAAAAAACATTTTCTGAGGAAAAAAATAAATCTCTTTAAAAAAATTTCATTCATAAAAATATTCCATGGTATTCGTGGGATTCGAACCCCAGCAATAAAATACCGATGTATCAGACTGCTTTGAGACTAACGCGCTAACCACTATGCTACATAGCTCATGTGTGGTATTGGCATTTAAATCATGTTTGTGATATGACCCTTGACTTAATGGACTTGAAGTATTTCTCGGAAAGATGCGAATGTTTTGTCATAAAAGTGTATTTTTAAGGTATAGTGGGTCTTCCCTCCATTTTTTTGTAAACCCAAAAATATATTTTTTATCGCAAACTTTTAGGATTATCTTTCAAAAAAATGGAGCGAAGACCCACTAACATTGAAACATTTTGTTAAAGTATGAAAAAATGATCGTTTTTGTTCTTTTAAGTCTGTGTATGCTTTTTCATAGGCAAATATTTTCAGTTTTTGTGAGATTTTTGTAAATTATAGAGATTTTACATTAAGTATACTTAAATATTAGATGAAATATGAAATAAAACTTGCATATAATTGAGATTAAATTTTTTCACTTCTTATCTGTCGCGCTATAGGCATTTTGCCCGCCTTATACGCCCATCTTCTTTTTCCTCTAATATTTTTAGCTAAATAAATTGAACCAAACAATCTTTTTTAATAGTCACATGAAAATTTGCGACAATAAAAAGTTTCAAACTACATCGCAAAGTTAATTTACCTTACTTCACTCATAAGCTGTGTTAAAAACATTTGCTTTATTTGTTAAATATGAGGAAAGAATCCACGACAATTAACTTAATATTGAATTTAAGACGAGCATAAAACATTTCACAGCACACATTATCTCTGTACGCAGCCTGCATGTAAAACAAGGAGTCCATACTTAACAGTATAAGTGTAAATACTTCGAAAGAGAAAAATTGATCATTTTCCTCTAAAATTCCTTCCGCCACAAAATATTGTTCCTTACTAATGCTTCCGGTATGGAATTCTATCATGGGCTTTAACCGAATGTAGTTTAATAAGCTTTGTTGAATCCAAATTTATTGTAAGAACAAAACATTATGAAGATTTCTTAAATAAAGATCAAGACAAAATTTGCTCTATACAAAACAAGGAACAACCCTAGCTCTTTAAAAGTTGATCGGATTCTGAGCAGGTTCTTGCGTATCGAAACAGTTCGGAGACCTAAAATTATTTGCAGATGATTGTTGAATATAAGAATGTAAATAAGGAAAGTTGATGATGGAAAAGTTGTGTGCAAATATCTCTCTTGTTATACAGTTGTTCGTTGATCTATCTCGTCTGTCGTCAGTAAACAATCCAGATATGAAACGCGTGAAGCAGAATCGGCTCTTTTTGACTTCCTTGGGATATATGTGTAGTCGATATTTGATCGATTGTCAATTGTATGTTGTTTAACGTCCCTCTCGAGATTTTTTTTGGAGACGCCACCCTTAGCCTGCGGAGAGCTGCAAATTTTGTCTTATGCTCGGCACTCTGGGCCTATGAGCAGGGAGGGATCTTTTTCGTGCCAGGACCTATCGTGACACGGACCCTCAGTTTATACGGTGTCATTTGAAGGACTGGATTGAGTTGCTCAAAACTCTGGTTAAGGTTAACCACTGGTTAAATCTCTTATCCAGCGGTTAACTTTTAACCATTGGTTAAATTCTGTTGCTCAAAATTTGTCCACTGGTTAACTTTGCTATCCAGTGGTTAAATATCGGCTAAAGTTAGCCATTCCACAGAGGTGGGTTAAGTCTCTTAACCAGTGGATAAACATGGCTTCTAGATTGTTGTTCGATGTTAATTATGGCAGACGACAGAGGAAACAGAGAGTTTTTAGACATTTTCATCATGATTTTGATGCATCTGAGTATAAACAAAGGTACAGGTTTTCACGCGAATCAGTCCAGTACATAACAGACTTGATTGAACCAGAGCTATGTCGCCCAACCATAAGGTCATACTCCCTTTCAGCCCTCAGTCAGGTGGAAATGGCTCTGCGTTATTACGCTATAGGGGATAATATGGAAACCATAGGAGATACACTTGGTTTTCATAAATCAAGTGTATCCAGAAGTGTTCGAGATGTATCACAGGCGCTAGTGAACATATCATCACAGTTTATTAAGTGGCCATCCCCAAATGAGAAGGTGATAATTAAGAAAGGTTTTTATTCAATTGCTGGATTTCCTGCTGTAGTTGGTGCTGTGGACGGCACACATGTGAGAATTATTGCTCCATCTGACCATGAACCTGCTTATGTCAACCGTAAGGGGTATCACTCGATCAACACCCAGGCTATATGCAATCATGAAGGCAAGTATTCTTTAAAAAAAAACAAATAGTCCTTTGAATGTTAAAGTAGACCACAAACATCAGTATATATTACCCAACCAATTAAAGAGTGCATGCCAAAGGATGTTTCAATTAATTTTATAAGTTAAAGTTTGTACTCGACTACATTCGGATTTCAGTGGTTTTCATATCAAGTTGTTAATTTGAGTGAGGGGTCCGATTTATATTTTTCCTTTCCCTTTAATTTATGCCTTACATATTGAAAATAAAATCTCCTATAGGCAAATTCACTAACATTGTTGCCAAATGGCCTGGCTCCAATCACGATTCATTCATATTCCGAGAATCTAATATCGGGGCCTACCTTGAAGCACATCACAGGGGCTTGGATATTGACGGTGTTTTACTTGGAGACAGTGGCTATGCTTGTAGCAGATATCTTGTGACTCCTTTTCTACGTCCAACATCAGAGTAAGAACACATTTTCAAACTACTTATAACACATTTTACATGGTTTACAGTTTCCACCCATCATGAAAATGATGTTTACAGAATTTTGAGTAATTAAATACCTTCCCATACTAGAGAGCTCTGAAAAGGGTACATAATAGATTTTTTAAAAATAAAAATTATAAAAACACAATAAAGTTCTCATTATTATTTTAGAGCTAGTAAATTTAGCAAATAAATAAATTTAAGAATATATGTCTAAGGATAGATATATCAGGTGCGGATCCAGAAATTTTTTCCAAGGGGGGGGGTCCACCCTAGTCAAAAAAAAAATCCAGTTCCAAAAATTTCCCAAAAATCCCCCCCCCCCCAAAAAAAAAACCTTAACTCGCCCCAAAGTGAAAAACCTATTTCGTGTGTGTGTGTGTGTGGGGGGGGGGGGCTATTGCCTCAAATTTTTAACTTTTCATACTCATTTCAAACATATTCACGATAACCAAGGGGGGGGGGGGTTCAGCAATTTCCAAGGGGGGTCCGATGTAACTTTTCTCTTGCTTTAGTATATACATTTTTTTATCTTGTTGGGTCCTGACCCCCCCCCCCGACCCCACTCTAGATCCGCGCATGTATATTCAAATGAATGATGAAAAGTTATAACCTAAGACATGAAGCAATTATTAAATTTAAGCCCACCAAAAGTCTGAATCCATGTAAAATTGAACTAAATACTTAGGTATATTTTTCTATCATTTAAAAATACTTTTATAATCATTAATTGGTATACCTTAATTTTTTTTTTTACTTTAAATGCTTTTGTGTAACAAATAATATGATATGAGGGGGGGAGGCAAAAATTAAATGTAAATGTTAATTAATTACACATTCTCTTTTCCAATTCAAGGGCTCAGATGCGATATAATAATTCCCATGCACAAACTAGAACAGTTATTGAGCGAAGTTTTGGATGGCTTAAAAGGCGCTTCTTGGCTTTGCATGGAGAAATCAAGGTAATTTTAAATAATTTACAAATTCATATGCAGACTTTTAAAATAAATTTGCAATTCATAAATACAATGTATTTTTTGTGATTCGATGTAAGAAGAAGCATGCAGTCTTAATTGAGTCATATTATAACAGATGTTTCTGAAACTCTTCACATTATTAAAGTATATAATTTTGAACTTTTCAATTTAGTGTAAACCAGAACGTGCAGCAAAAATGATTGTGGCGTGTGCTGTTTTACACAAAATTGCTCAGGACAGGAGAGAGACAATCAATGATGCTGGCTGTGATGACACTCAGGACCAAAGAGATGAGGCTGATGTCTTAGATGAAGTAGCTGCCCAGCCCATGAATAACAACATCAGACAATTCATTGTCAATAACTACTTTTAATTTACATTTCATTTTCAGTTTGCAAAGATGATGTTTCTAATTTAAGTTTCAGAATCTCCAATGCAACCTTTTCCTTCTGTAGTATGATCAGCTCTGTTTCTTCTCGAATTCTTCGCAAATCTTCTTTCAGAACCAGTCTTTGCAGCTCAGCAACACTTTCTTCATTTTTCCTCTTTCTTCCTTTCTCTGCACAAAATTTCAAAAGAAAAATTTTCAGTGTTCTGAGGTATAAATATCTTTTTCATAGTTTTAATTCTAGGATTTTTAATCATGAATGCTCTCTCTCTCTCTCTCTCTCTCTCTCTCTCTCTCTCTCTGTGTGTGTGTGAGGGTGTGTGTGTGTGTGTTTGAACATTGCAAGGATTATTGAATACATTGTGTTAAAAATTCAAGCATATTAAATTTACCTTTTTCATCTTTTTTCTTAATCTTAGCCCCAGATTCTGATATCATCAGGTCATATGTGACACTTGTTCCTGGTAAACATTATGTGTTTTAAAGTTAAAAAAAATAGAGCTAAAACTTCTTTAATACAATTATACATGTATGCATAAATGGATATAGAGCCATTGTACACATTTAGTTTACAATTTTTAAACATTAATTTTGCAAATGTTTGTTAACTTGGGTTATGTCTATTAATTCTGGCAAAAATTATACATTCAAAAGTTACATGATACATGTATAAATGATGCTCTGTAAAATGAATTATATCTACTATGTTTTTTCATAAATCAATTGAAAGCTTACCTGTCAAATTATCAGGGAGTTCTACAATTGTCTGTGTTGCTTCCTCTGTAAAAAAAATTTAGAGGTGTACAATAAAGGTTAATATTTTTGTTATCATATGGTACAGAATGTTTTTTTTTCCATTCAAAGTCCATGAATTTATTTCATCTTATAATTCATATTAATGGTAACTAATCATTATTTAAAATGCATACTCTCCAAGTTGTTTGCTGCAGTTACTAGGGCTTCATCTCCAACAGGATCTGTATAGTAATTTAAATCATTTTTATTGACATGCACCTGTGGATATATGGACCAACATTTATATATGTGTAATTTATTTATTCGTGCATCATAATTATTAATAATTAATTTTAAATTATCAGTTGATACAATAAAAGAAATAACATAATTTTAATATTGTTCAGTTCATGAACAAGTTTCTTTTTTTTTTAAATAATTTTCAAAATCATGTTGATTAAAAGTCATAAAGTACACGTATTTTAATATAAAATGTACTCACACCAACATTGTATGATGGAAATACATATTTTGATGATGTCAGTTGATGATGATTTGATTAACATTTATTATTTAAAAAATTATTGATTGAATGAAAAATAATTTGAGTACATAAAAGTCTTACAAATTTAAATATTTTGTTATGTATTTATTGTAATATGCATAAAAAATAATAGTTACTTGAACAATCAGCATCCTCATGTGTACTTGAAGTTGTTGCTGGCAATGGCACCTCTGTACAAAAAAAAATATTTTTTGTAGAAATATGCTTTAATATAGATCCACAAAGCTCCTAATAAATAAAAGAATTTCTTTTAAGAAAAAAAAAGCACATGCATTAAACCAAAAAATATAAAAAGCTTTGCATTGTGTACTAATCTTTTTTTTTTTGTTTGGACCGAAACACTACATGGGCGAAGTGGTTATGCACACATTAATTGGCCTTCACCTTGCAGTTTGTGAAAAAAAACCGCGTCTGACTCGGAACGTCTGCGAGAGATGTATAAATGTAATGGATGTTTTGACAGGAATGCACTAAGCTCAAACACGAGAACATGAGGTAAAACTTATTCTTTTAACTCCTACTAAATTGTATCAATGAGAAAGAATAAATTCTGTGGAATTTTCAGTGTGCGCAGACGGGCTGTGGTATTTCGAATTTCCTCGTTGTGGAATGTAAACAATGTGTAGACCTGCTTATTGTTTTATTTGAATTTAATTTCAGAAAGATGAAAAGTACCTTCAAAAACAAGCCCTCCAACTTCGACCCCTCCTTCAATGCCAACGAAATTTGGGGCGTCTTGGAACACGTCCAGAATTTTCTGTGATATGGCATCAACTGGGGGTGGAGCCGGACCACCACCGGTCTTCATACGATGTGTTTTCTGGCTGACGATTTCCCCCTTCGCTTTGGAACAAGCCTTTCTATACTTCTCCTTGATTTGATCGACTGTTCTCACAATCTCACCCCTTGAATTTACCGCTTCCGTAATCTCACGCCAGGCAGCAGCCTTTTTGACATTTGTTACTTGGTTTGTATGTTTCGATTTTATAAGCTCAATATGTTTTTCCACCTGTTCCACCAAAAATAAAGTTTCATCAGCTGAAAAATTCTCACTTCTTTTTTTGTTGACACTGTTGGAAGCCATGTTTTTTTGTGGTGACAGACGGACAAATGTAATGCATTGTGGGATACTAACCACTGGTTAAATCACTTGACCAGTGGTTAGCTAACCAGAGGCTAATTTTATTTTGAGCAACAAATATTTGACCAGTGGTTAGTTACCCAGTAGATATTGAATTTAACCAATGGCTAACTTATCCACTGGACAAATTTAACCAGTGTTTTGAGCAACTCAGTCCTGGTCTCTACGTCTAACGGTTGGATACAATCCCGCGACGTATGGATCAACTCCTTACTTCGCGAATCTAGAGGATATGTGGACGAAAGAGAAAAATGTGCATGGGTGAAACATAGTCGTTATAATAGAATGTGGGATTGAAGGCCACAACAATTTTTCTTCTCTTGTAGAAACTTTTGAAACAGTTTCTGCTCCATAGAAATCTAAAAAAAAAATTTTAAAAAAGGTCGAATTATGAAAAATTTGAAGCACACTTAGTGATTCTTGGTAGACCTTGCAGGGGTCCCTTGTATAAGAAAAACAACTAACGACTTGGACCCAAATTTAGTTCTGCTATAGTGCTTGAAACTTAGTAATTTACATTAAAGTTGAAAATGGTTTTAAAACTTCTTATAATCGATTCAGAAATACTGTAGACGTACTTTTTCCAAGGGGTCATAATTCCGCGGAATCTCAATTTCTGTTGAATCCGCTTGTAAAAAATTACGCGGATTTCCTAGACTGTAACTATATGCCTTACATACGAGTATGTATTAGGTACGCGGAAAATTTGTGACCGCGCACATAGCGTAAATCAATACCACGCAGAAAAAAGTATATCTACAGTATATTTAAACTTGTGATGTAATATGTACTTTAGAGGATGGTTGTAGTATCTGGGTTCGCAGCTGGAATGTCTTGCTCGAGGATGATCAATGCTCACTCACTTTCTTATTACTACTACATGATTAAATATCAATAATTAAGCGTGGAAGAAAACTATGATGAATGAGCATTTTCTCGTTTAAAAACAGAGACTTTTCTAAGGCATCGTTCTTCACAAATCAAAGACAAAGAGTTTAGGAATAAGAAGGTAAGAATTAGAAGTCAACTGTAAATATGTATACTGATTTGTGTTTTTAACATTAGGAAAATGTACCAAATTGTATATTATTGAATTTTGTGAGCAATTTCTAAAACTGTTCTAATGTAAGACTTAATCTAATCTAGAAAATGAATATGTTAAGAAATTGAGTATTATATAATTTATTTATTAAAGATCTTTATTTTGTTGCTTTATCTAGATACATGTATAATTATATAAATTCGTATTAATCATATTGTCCCTTACGCGAAGTTTACAGTCATGCTTCCAGCATCATCAATCAGCAAAAACTTTCCAGTGCAAAAAATTTCTGCACTTTTTGTACATAATTATTTTCTTGTTTTTAGATTCACATCTATTTTATCATGGACGAACGACTTACAATTGTATTTTTGTTAAATATACTGAATCCAATTCTGTGCAAAGTGTGTGAAGACAGTTTGCCAACAATACTGCAGAACTGTTTGAGTAAATGTCAGAAAAACGTCAACAAATCACTCGTTTACCAAAGAGAGGATTCCATATATTACTACTGCCAAAACCAATATCTGGTTCAAACTGTGAACGAAACATGGAACCAAAGAAATGTTCACAAAATAAAGCCAGAAAGTTTAAACATACTCACCGACATCTTCAAAAAGTTTCAAATCGAGGATCCAGTCTCTCTCAGAATCAAGAGATCAACACCCATCATCAGAAAAGAATATCGACAATTAACCACTCAGGAAAGAGACCGATTTCACAGAGCATTACAGGCAATGAAATCCGACACTAGTGACATGGTATGTATGCCTTTGCTTTATTTGCAAAGATTAGAAAAACATTTGTAAAGAAAAATTATCCGTCTGTCTTTTTTTTTTTTTTTTTTTTTTTTTTTTTTTTTTTTTTTTTTTTTTTTTTACAAATTATCTCTCCAATTATCTTTTTCTTGCCCGCATGTCGCAGTGGTTGGAGCGTCTGCTCTAAAGTTCGGAGTAGGGATTTGATTCTTACATCGAGAGTTTGTATCCCACTTTGGGGCGTGGAGAACCGTTCTTCGGACGAGACAGTATTAACCGAGGTTCCGTGTCGCTGTAGATGCTGACACAAAAAAGATTCCTCACTGCTGAATCGATTAAAGGTCACAAATTACAGCTCTTCAAAAGCAGATGGTGGTCTCCATATGACATAATAATTCTCGAGAGGGACGGTAAACAATAAAACAAAACAATATTCACTAAATAGTAAACCTGCTTAAAAATTAATAAATACAAAATGTCTTCTACATTTTTGGTCTTTTTAAATTTTTTAAATGCCACTGCCCAACGGTCTCGATCAGGTTTTGATAAAACTATGATCACAAGTTGACTGAGCAAATTTTATATGTCATTTATTTTTTAAGTTGTGTTTAAGCGATATAGATGTTCCTATGCTGTTTTATGTACTTAAAGAGATATAAACTCATAAAAAATATAGTTATATTTACTGTTAATCAACTATTATTCGCATGATCTTGTATTCTCGACTCCGCAGCTTGCAATCAATCTCCAACATTGACGGGTACGCAGATATACTTTTAACTCTGTTTCCTAAGAAGGAAGAGCAGAAGCATTTCCTTGCAATTACAAGAATATAAATTTGAATTATTTAATATTTCTTATTCTCCTTGTATAAATTCTTTTTTTTTTCATCGTTTACATGCGACAATCTTTTCTTTTTTTTCATTATCTAATCTTTGAGACAATTTTACTCCATTTATCAAATACTAGACTACGTACTCTTACGATACTTTACTTTTTTCATATTGTAGCACAGGCAGCCTAACGTATATGATTGGTTTGTTAATCTACATCCGGCAGACGTTGCACCTAGTGCTCATTTTGGTCCAGGATTTCTTGGATTTCATCGTGTCTACCTTTTCTTGTAAGAAAAAATCGTAATACATATATCAACATATAACAAACTTTATTCAATACATTTTACTCGAACTCATAAAGAGTATGGCAAAAAGGACTGATTCAACTTACAAAACATTTGAAAATTTTTGTAAATGTTTTATATTCGTGAACATGTCATTTGGTAAGCTAGACATAATTTTTACGAAATTTCTATATACGAATCCTTTATACTACAATTAAGAGCAAGGATTAATTTTTTAAGGCAGTAAAGCATAATTACCCGAAAATAAGAAGATAAGCATTTCTTCCTTTATGGAGATTTTTCAATTGAAAAAAGCCGTTGAAGATTATTAAAATTAATTTTATATGTTTAAAAACTTAAAGATCTTTATTGTTTTTGGCTAATGTTATGTGCTTTTATTATAAGAGAAGAGTATAATTTCCCATGGAGAAAAATTGATGCGAAACTTGTACTTGTTTTAAAACATTAAATCGGTTTCAATAATTTATTCGAAATTCAGTATAACTAGATTGGGAATTTCCACTTGTTTCAAAACATAAAATTGGTTTCAATAATTTATTCAAGATTTAGTTCTTATAAATTCCAATGGCCAAAATAGAATTTTTAATAGACTACGTATAGTATTATGACTTTTCAAATATGGCTATTTCACTTAATGTTTGCGAGTTATACGTGGAAAAGATTGACATTTACCACCGCACGATACGCTAAAGCTTAAGAATGGAAAACCACAAATTCATGTAGATTCAGAGTATTGTCATAAACTATTTATATTTGAGGTTTTGGCATTTACAGGGGGTATTTCACAAGAATACAACTTTGTATACTGATTAAACTTCTAACCCGCCACTCTGTTTTAATAGCTTCTGATAAATTCGGCAGAAACATACCAAATTTTATTTTACGTATAGTTTTTTTTAGAAATCACCATCTTTTATTCTCTTTCATAATGTTTACCTAGAAATTATGACTTTTGTTTTTTTTCTTGTCGAACATAATAGATTTGAGCAACTTTTGCGAAGATATGAGCCAGATGTATTCATTCCATTTTGGGATTCGTCATTCGACACTCTTTTGGAAGAGCCGACGTCCAGTGCAATGTTTTCCGTTAGTGGCATGGGTCCTGGTTCAGGTGTTGTACGAGAGGGTCCCTTCAGCGACTGGACGCATGAAAACACTGGAGTGTTGGTGAGAAATGTTGGTTTAGAAGGTGGGTTATTCAGCAGAGAATTTATTGAACTCTTTCTACGTCAGAACAGGATTGAGGATATTGGACTGAATAGAAATGAATTAGATACAAATTTGGAGTTTCATCATGGTTCCGTTCACAATTGGGTTGGAGGTACTCTTAGAGATTTTCATTATTCCCCTGCTGATCCACTTTTCTTCATGCATCATTGTTTTGTTGACGCTTTATGGGAAAGGTTTCGTGGTAATCAAGTCCAGCGCGGCTTTGATCCTGAATGGTACCCCTAAGTGGATGGGGACCATGCGCAGGACGCACCAATGAGGCCATTTGAATCTGGAAAAGATGCCAATGGTGAAAGTAAGTATATTCTAAACAGGATCGGATTTTCCAAAATGTGGTCTTCATATGCGAAGTATGAGAACCCACCGTATGACTGTAGAGTAGATTCTGACTGTGGGTCAGAACAGATGAGGTGTGAGAGGAGATTGTGCCAACCTCTGACTATAGAAGAATTTGAAAGAATAGGTTTACATCGAAGATCAAAACGAGAAATATCAAAAACATATAGCAATCCTTGGGTGCTACCTACATCAATGAAAGCAAGTCGTCAACATCACACGCAAAGCAATACACCACTTTTTCATGGGTCAAATGCAAGAACGACACCATTTTACCATTCCTGTCAAAATTCGTTTATGATCGATGGTGAAGCTGATATAAGTAAGTGGGTTTTTATACCAGTAGCTGTTTACAAAAAAAGACCAAAGGACCAGACCTGTGATGCTTTTCCAATTAGACATGGATCTCCAGACTACACTGGGGATGTTTTCGATCAAAGTTCCAGTACCAAATACCAAACGTCTAACAAAGAACCTAGAAGTGATGGAAGAGACAAATGCTCACACTTGGGGTCTGGAATAACTAAAGTGTATGTGAAGACATTTGGGCTAGACTATCGTGGGTCTTACACTGACCATGCGCTTCTCGATGAACGACTTCAATTTTCGTCTGGCCTAAGTGCAGTAGGTGTGAAAAAGCCCTTGAATAATAGAGGAAGTCACGTGTTTATTACTGCGCATGACTCCTGTGGGAATATGTGCACAGCGTTTTGCCTGAATACCCAGTCCTCTCCTTATGAATACCAAGCATGTTCTGGTGCTGTCCGAATAAGTCCTGTCAAGCCGTTAATGTACAGGAGTACAGTTAAAGAGGCTTTGCTGAGTGCCTACAATTACTCAAGTATTAGTCCAACAATCTCAAAGGAGAACATTCCCATTGTATTCCACTGCGACTAGACAATCACTAGACATTTTTCATATCATTCATCAATATTTTATTGTTTTTATTAATTAAACATATATTAATCATATATACTGTGTTTGTCTTCAAATAAAATATGTTATTCTATAATACAATTAAAGAAACCATAACATACCACGATACACACACAAACAGTTTTGGGTTCGACGTAACTTTGAATTCCTTCATTATGTATCGATCATTGCTTCTTTTTTTAAATCGTAAAAAAATAAAAGAGAGCATTTTCGAGGATAACCGCAATTTTGTCCCTTTCAAATTTTATTTACTTTACAGGAAACAAAAAAAATAGTTGTATATGGCAGCATACAAGTACTAACTTTCTGCATTCCTATTCCTAAAACAAATGGTCAATACAATTGAGGCCAAAATAATGTTTGCCCGCCCTCTCCAGAATCAGAGTAACATTAAGGGGTCGATAGGTAGGTGGGAAATTTTTTTGATCAGAAAATGTCAACAAATATGTTGTAGGGATAAGAGAAATAAAATATATAAAAATATCATGTTCTGGAATGTTTAAAAGAGAATCTGGTCATTTTTAGTCAGTCAGATGGGAGAGAGCAACCAAACATTTTTCAAGGATGGCCTGATAAAGTTGAAAAAAGGGATGATAATATAACGAACTTCAAACAATAGTGATATACATGTAGACCCCATAGAAACTATAGGCACCCTGAAAGCACAAAGGACGGAATACAATGAAAAACGGTCTTAATTACCATTTTTATAGTGTGAGACTTTTGAGTCAATAATGAGTGATAAGCTGTATTACAAAAGAGGGTCATATACGCAAATCTAGCATTTGCAAAATACTGCAATCAAACCCTTTTTCGGCCTTCCTCAGTTTAAAATTGACTACTCAAAATATATTCTTGTAAAATATTAAAATTTACGTTAATACATACAAGATCTTTAATTTCAAGGCCCTAGACTAAAATTGTCTACCCAAAATATGTTCTGGTAGAATATTAAAATTTACGTCAATACAATTACAAAATCTTTAATTTCAAGGTCTTAGACTGTAAAGGTTCTTTCAAGATGTATAATTAATATGCCATTAAAATCTGAACGGATATGAAAGCAATTTCTCCTCGTTGTAAGTAAATATTTCTTACTAAAGTGTTATTTACATATTTAACCATCGTATCGTGTCATTGTAACTAATGAAAATAGGCTCTATTCAGATTTATAACATATTCGTCATTAAAATTAGTACCGGTAATTCGAACGGATATGGAATCATATTTTCCACAAAGAAAGTAAATATATTTAATGGATGGTCCTTGAGGATCTCTCTCTACATTAATTCTAGTGTATTTTTGTATAGTTATACTGACCCACCATTTGACATGAAATAGAATAAAATTAAATCTACTCTGAATGACTTAATTTAAAATTAAATCAATGTATTCTAAACAATCTTTTGGACCAATACAGTGTAAATGAAAACTATTTGCATGTATTTTCTCCATTTCAGTAAGCAGAAGTAATCTTTGCATTATTTCCTGGGTATGACAAATGGCACACCCCCAATATTTAAAATGATAGAGTTAATTAGTATCAAAACATCCATTTTTACACTTTATCATTTTCTCAAATTTCAAACATTTTCCATAAAATGTGTTTAGAGGATAATTCACACAATTTACCTTCCTGTCCTCTTTAGAAATAATTATCCTTCTTTCTTATAAAGAGAAATATTTTCAATTACGTTAAAAGATAAATGCTTGAAAATACTACTTAGAGTAAAGAAGTTTACCATTTATACAATCCAATGAGAAATATGTATACAAATTTAATTAGTGATAGGCTAGAAAAAAAGTTAGTCGGAATTGATTACTTGCACTTGACATAGATACAACATTCAAATAGAAATACAAATCCTATATGCTAGAGAAAGTTCTCTGTGCAATAGTTAAAATGGACATTTTGATAAAAAACGGTACAAGTTAAATAATCAATAAGATTTAATCATTTTTCATTTTGAACAACTGTAAATCATAATATTTTTTTTAATCATAAAATTTGGTTCAAAATCATTAAAATTTCAAAAGATTATCCACGACACCAAACGGTCATATTGTTAGTAAATGTATTTTAAACAGTGAGTCATCAATTTAAATCCTGTCCCACTCATGAAAATAAATTCCACATTCAACTAACAAAACATTGAATATCCTCTTTACAAAACACAGAATCTAACTTTGAACGTGACAATCAGTATTGTGATAAACAGGATCTGGTTGAATTTTGTCATATTCTGCGTTTTCACGATGAGTCGAAATCGTTGATTCGTATGTATTCTCAGGCGCCGCTTTTTGTCTTCTTAAAATTGGAATATTAAAATATCAGTTAACTGCATTTAAGAATGTAAAGGCAAGCGCCAATGACGCCTAAAAATATGTTGGAATGGAAATTCTTCTTAATGTCAAACATTTACAGTTTCTTTGAAACAAACTATTGAAGATTTACTTTAACATAATTATCACCACGTACATTTGACATATACAAAAACGAGGTTTATTTGTTCAAACCTTTTCTTTTGGATCAGAATTCCAGTGGTGATGAGAAAAAGTCCGAACAACAATACTCCTAAAGTGATGATGTAAATAATGGGTTTACCAAAAGAACCGAAATCTAAAAAACATATAAAATAGCATACAGAATGCTTAGAGTATGAATATTAAAGAATAGTATAATTATGATCACAATTTTCCTTCAATTTTAACAAATGTTTTACAACCTGCACTTGGACTTTGACAAAAAGTTCCAGAGAATCCTTTTTTACATCCAAGAATACATAAGCCTCTAATATTACAAATAGATCCAGCACAAAATTCTTGGCAAGATTTTTCACAGGTTTGTCCATATTTGCCCGAGTTACAATGTGTGCAATTTCCGGTCATCTGGTCGCATTCTTGACAGCCCTCCTGGAGACAAAGCTCAGCACAATAATTGCCATACCAGCCCGATGCACATCCGGTTAGACATTCCCCATCTACTCCGCATCCATCTTTACATCGGGGGTTACAATGACAGGAAAGACCAGACCAACCTGCTAGACAAGAAATACAATTAACAATGCCTTCACAAGGAGGGTATGATTTGATACGGACACTTTTACCACGATTGTTCAAAGAAACCGGCACTCTACATATCGTTAAGTCACTATTATCAGTGCATCGATAAAGTTTCTTTGACAACCTTTTCTGCAACAGTCCCGTAATACCCTATGAAAAGACGAAAAATTACCTCTACTGAATTAGTTTTCAAAGAAAAAATGCAGAAAAAGAGCCATAAGTGTCATTTTTTTATATGTGGGTCCTAATCTAAATGATTCCCTTTTAAAAATGACACCTTTTATAATGACACAAAATTTATATTTTGAGTATTTAATTGTTTAGAATTTATTAATAATTGATGCCAAGGTATGAACCTCAAAGTTGAATTAATTTTTATGCCCCTTTTGACCAACCCTGTATGTTAAACACTCATACTGCGATGTGAAGTTGTAACATTCTGCAAAACAATTTCCCATGCAATATCTTCCATGATAATCAAGACTTTACAGAGTGTGCAGTTGAGATGTTCGATACATTTATCACAATTTTTATAGTTTGCGCAATACAGAGCACACTTTAAGCCATATTTTATAGAACTACAATTATTAGAACATTTCCCAGTTTTTCTGCACTTCATGTCAACACCAACCATCCACGCATCCTTTTTTACAAACTCCCGAGTATCCATCGCAAGATGAGTCGAAACAGTGACCGCACATTTGATCACATAGGTAACTGTACGTTCCTTTGCTACAACCTGTGTTTAAAAATTGAAGCTAAGGTTAAGAACCACTAAGAAGAAATCAAATTGTCACTACACAGCAATATGTTGTAATAACTTGAAGCAAGGAGTAATATAATTTAAATATTGATGTTAATTTAATTATGAAAATAATCGATATGTAGCTTAAAATATAAAAACTTCGAAAATGGATAACGCCCCCTTTTCCGTCTGTCTTTCAATGATGACCTGATTTCCAGTCAGGGAACGATTTCTAGTACATGTGATTTTCCAAACATGGTACATTGTTGGGGGGTTTGCGATGTTGGAACAAAGGGTGTTTTGTGTGCACTCTCGTCTAGATGCATTGATCACAAAGACGTTGTACGAACTCGATTCTTCTAATAATTAGATATATGAACCAATTTTAACATTTCGCACTTATTTACATCAAAGAAAGCAATTATACTCAATTTTACCAAAATAATGTGTTAAAAAAAAGGCTTCTACATAAGCACCAAAAATTAAAATTCTTGCATACTAATAAAGTTTAAAGCATCTCCACCAACTGCTCATGTAATTCGTAACGACACGCAGATTTCACTTTAAAAGTCAAGGGAACGCTTTAAATGTCTCTATTAGTAATATGCATGTTGTGACGATCATAAGTCATACTATGCTAATTCTTCGTTATTTACTGATACTTTGTCATTACCCGTGTACGCTGATATTTGGTCTATATATGCTGCATGATATTTCTTCAAAATATCTTATACTCTAAATGAAAATGGTAATCCTTTTTCTCTTGTTTAGATATTGTTGGTATTTCAAAACTGGAGCCAAGTTGTTAAAACTTCGAATAAAATATACTTGTGTTAGATAGATATCCATACCCATTCCCAGATTAAGTAACCTCAAATATGCTTATATGTATATGTTTTAAGAAATATCCAGGGTTTCACCTAAAAGTAAATGAATCTCCATGTATTTGATTGTAGTTGTTTCTTCTAAGTTAATTATCAGTGTTGGGTTGTTGTCAGCCATTGTCTTGGCCTCAGTATATGTATCTCCGTCCACGGCATATCTAGCCACCTTTACACCACTTGTATCTTTTGCAGTCGATGAAAGAGTTGCATTCTTGTTCAGAGCTACATTTTCTGTTTTAAAAAATAACAAAATGTAATTTTAAAATATTTTTGTAGAAATTTACAATAGCAAAAATGAAATATATATATCTGTATCCTGATGGTGGTCCTCATATATTGCGAGAGGAAAGACATTTTTCTGACAGCCTAAGATAATATACTTGTATTAACTGATTTATTTCCTGTTTACAAAAGATGATGTGGTTTACATGAAATTTTATTAGATCAAGTAGGTTAAAAAAAAAACATTGCCTCTTTGACAACTGTTGTGTTTGCTTCCACTCCATCCCTTGATGCATGCTGTACAGCTTGAACTTAGATGGTCTTGACAATGGTTTTCACATTCTCCGTCAATACATTGAGCTGTGAAGGTTAAATGCATGTGTACTCATACAAATTCTTGCGCTGTGGCACACAAAACTGTACAAAATCACTTTTATAGGTTTAATCTAAAGAGGTTTTCCTATCAGAATGTCTGTAGGAAAGCAGATTTTTTGTGGTCCAAAAATTCCAAATTATAGACTTATTATAAGTAACTGGTCGAATTCAAAATATCCATCCCCAAATTTGACAAAATTATTTTACTAATATGATTGTTTTTGCCTAGTTTTCAGTAGAGCAGGACAAAGGAATTATATCACTATTCTTTGAATATTTCTTTATTTTATCATAAAGATTATGCCTTTAAAGTAGTACAAAAAAAGATAGGTCAAATTTTCCTAAAATTCTATTTTTCTGAAACTTTGTTCATGTATTTGTTACAACATATTGATTTTATTCGTTTTTTCTGCTGTACGTTTTTAAGAAAGGAGTTAAAATAGAATTCCTGCATGTGTTCTCTTACCTTAAAAATAGATTGAGCTCAATGCCCTTTGGGTGAGGAAAACACAAACAACTCCCAAACTATGGCTATTTCTGACGTAAAGGTGCGTGATTAAGGCTGCAAATCTTTTAAGATTTTGTTAAATCTGATAGCGGTATGACCTTCGTATTTTAAGTATCATTGCTTAAATCCATTTAAAAAAATTATTTTAACAGCTTGCTTTCTAACAGATATCTAATAAAAACAAAAACGATTTCTCGTATTTTTTTTTCAAATTTTAAAACTTTTACATTATTCAACCATTCCTCTTTCTGCATATTGTACATATACCATATAATTAAACGGTAAATTTATACTTACAGTATGTTAATTCCACAATTATCATCAATTCAACACACAAAACTATGCATGATAGCTGCATGCTGTGTTATATGAAATACACACGATTCCACGAATTAGGAAAGAAAATGATAAGAACATTGATTGGTTTCATTAAAGCTGTATGAAATATGGAGCATAAAAAGGAGAGACAGATAACAATCCCGTTTATAACCACAAAGAACACAAAAAGAAACTTTGCTATTTTAACTTCCTTAAAAAATGAAAAGGTCATAAGATTGAGGTCAGATTACATGTATAACTGATTGCGATGCAAGTTAAAATATTTTAAACGCTACATGCTTGGAAGGGATTATTTTTCTGTTAATGCCACCAGGTTTATTATTTACATCATGTCAAAAACCCTTGACTTTAATTAATTCATCGTTTGGAATTGTTGAATTTAAAGTTGAAAAGTCGTATATCTTTACATGTATGTTGTTGTTTTTGGTAAAATTTTCTGATTTCATATTTACCAAAAAGTTTCTTGGAATTTTTTAGTATCCACCTCTGATTTACACCACTTCTCGAATAAATTGTTGCACAGTAATCCCGAAGTTTCTCCTTCACAATGAAGCTTTGTAGAATATGAACTGGTGCCCGCTATGGTGTTGTTTGTAAGGATTTTATGAAGTTTCCAATATACATGTAGATATGGTAATTCAAATTAATTTTGGTTGCTGAGAATATTAAAAACATTTAAATCTGACATTTGATTTTAAACAACCAGTTAATTTTTTAGCCCTTGAAAAAAACGTTGCATAGGCCTGCTATATGAAATTGTTATTAGTCCTCATATTTAATTATACATTAAACAACACTCTACTCTATCTAAAATATTCATTTGAACTTATTCAATCAGTACGTACAATGTAGTTTAACCAGCTATTATATTATAAGTTGTATTTTAGTATTTCTGATCTCCTATGCATTTAAAATTATTTCAGTAACACATTAATTTGTTCCTTTACTTAACTCATTAAAATCAAAACTATTAGAAGAATATTTCAATGTTATATAATGCATTAAAAATAATCAAATTTATTAACCATAATGCAAACCCATTTACAATTTCTAACTATCCCAGGTCAAGATAGTTAGTATAAAAAAATAACAGAGTTACAAATTGATTATAGCTTTTCTACAAATGTCACTATTTTATTTTTGAACATAATGAGTTTTCGTCACTTCAGTAAAAAGTACATGTTTTTTAAAAATATTTTTTACAAAATAAAGTAGCATACGATTTGTTTCAGTTTTGTTCTGACATCTTCAAAACATTTAAATTATATATATCTTATATGCTAGGAGAGATAAATGTAATAAAAAGTTGTATTTTGGAATTCCGTTCATAGTGGAACTCTAACATTACATGTTTACACTGTACATAAAAATGTATTACAGAGCTCAGATTTTTCCACAATATTTGAACATGTTCACAATTAAAACGTTTAAGGTCCAATAGTTTCCATTTTATCATTAATATTATATCTTTCAAAAATAAAACTATACTCCCTGCATAATTTTCGATTAATTTTTTTTTTCGAAAAAAAAAAACCAATATCTGCTTTGTATGTCTGTTTAATTAAAACAAAAACTGTTTTAAGGCCAGACGACACGTTCCTTAAAAAGATAAAAATATATAATTTTTCCCAAGAATTTGTCATTTAAGGATAGGTACTTTAGCACGTTTACTCAGAGAAAAATAGGATACCTTACATGTACCAGTTATGGACAAGATACCACAGAGTCGTATTTCTTATATAACGCTTACGGGTAATCTTCTGAATGGCCTATATCACAATTTTTGGTGTACTTATATTTTAATACATTTTGAGAAGAATGTAGAAATCAGAAGAAAATGACAAATATGAATAATTCTTTATATAAAAATCCAAGAGATACAAAACACATATTTGAGGAACCTGTAGTCTGACCTTAAGGGATACACACTGGGATGAAGTGCATGCAATATGCCCGATAGATTGCAAATATTGTTTTCAGTTCTTTCAATAATACGAAGCGTAATTTCAAAATTTATTCAATGAGTTCAGGCGCATCATGACGAGAAAAGAATAACCAAACAAATACATACTCATTTTCAACAAACATATGCTTACATTCCACTTTATTCAAGAATTATAAATATTGTGACGATGATGCTTATTATGATGTAACAATAATAACAGAATATCAGAATGATATGTGTTAGATTTGCTTGAAATGACGTAGAAGCTGATAACAACTGATAATATTTTTTAAAGCAGATTTTTCTAAACCTCTTGTTTAAGTTAATGTAATGTAATACCATCCATTTGAAAAGTTTGAAAAAATTCGTCAAAATGACGATATCAAAGATTTTAAAAATAAAATATTATTTCAAACTGCGATTAAAAAGATACAGATGTCATTTAGCATTAGGTCTTTGGAAATTGGAATTATACCAGATACATACAAAATAATGACTGTTTAGCTGTAAAAGATAACATACTCTGGATAGGTTTGATTTTTGTCATAAACGACAAACTCCCTGTCTTTGAAGTATCCGCCTGTATCGGCTACAACACTATCGTAGAGTTCCTGGTGTTCCGCACAGACCAGATTGTGACATATTCTGCATGGAGGTCTGGTGAATTTGCCCTGTGATCTTGTAATGAATACGTCCCCTAAACACATTCTCATCTGCAGCATGGCTCGGATTTTATCATTTTTTGCTGAAACAACAGCAAAATATTTTAAAAATGAGTGTATTATATTACGCTCTGATTAATTAGGAAAGATTTTTTCAAAGTTATGTATGTTCCATATTATTTCACATTTTCAATTTTTTTTTATTCATTTCTGATGTATTGTAACAAATACCACTTTGAAATTTTTGTTTGTTTGTTTCACGTCACTTTGAAAATGTTCCTACATTTAATCAGACGGCTAACTTGCGGAGGAGGGCTGCAAATATAGACTTGTAGTCTGTACTTACGATGATTTAGCAGTGAGGGATCTTTTTTTACAACAGCGCCTCCTCCTATTTCTACGAAATTCTACCGGTCATTCGGATGATACCGTATAAACCAAGACCCTCGGGTCATAGTACGTGCTTGCACGAAAAAGATCTCAAACTGCTCCATGGCCCTGCGTAGCAGTTTAGGTCCAAGTGAATCAAACAATGGCCGACCCGGCCCCAATGCCACCAAGGCTTCATTTTTTAACTTTATATGTTCCCTATGCCACCAAGGCATTCACAATAGCCACCAAGGCTTAGAACCACCAAGGTTCCCCATTATTTTTTAAAAAATAAATTTATATTTACCTCTCCTGCACTTCTTCGTTTCTTATCTCGGTACAAGCGCGTCTTCTCCGGCCAAAGTCTGGCATGAAAAGAACCCCGCTGCTGCGCTCAATCACGTGACGTCACTGAGGATAAGGAATAGGAGTAAATCATAAGCATTACCTTTAGGAAAAAATCAGAAAATGAGTGTAGCACAGAAATTTTACAATTTTAGATTTTACGGGATTATTAAGTATGTAAACATAAATAAAACCTGTATAGCCATCAGATTTTGAAGCCTTTTCAGCACCATAGATTCCATTACCCAGGAGACCACCGTGTGCTCTCGGAAGCCTTGGGTCAAGTCCTTGAACCTTTATATTTGCCAAACGGTCTTTTGCTGTACCGTGAAAGAAATAGTATTCGTTTACTTCTGAATGTAGATCCTTCTTCAAAAAATCCAACGCTTGCATTAAGACAAGATTTGAGCCTAACAATTGTTCCAAAGGTGTAAATATTCCTTCGCTGTGTATTTTACGAAACTGACGAACACGTTCATTTGCGTATTGAAAAAATAAATTGGCGTTCTCCAATCTACAAATCTTCTCTATCTTACAATTCGTTCCACCCATTGTTTTCAAGAACGCATTTTAATGCAATCGAAGGTCGTTTTATCTACATCTATTTCGTAACATTTTGTCTTTGTCCAATCCTTAAGGTAAAAAAAATCTGTGTATTTCGTCCAATAAGATGGAGAACGTGGTGGTTTTCGAAACATATACTCAAAATATTTAGGTGTTCCCCTTTCTGGCTTCAAAGATAAGCATTGGTTTCTCAATGGAAATGATGTTTGTGGTCTTTCATCTGCTTAAGATAAGTAATTTTTATTTCATTTTTTTGTGCAACCAGTCTATATTTTGTAATTTTCACATAACGCTGTATCATAAAAAAGAAAAACTAACCAGGTACATACCTCAAACATTCAATTTACAACGATGATTGATTATGTAAAATTGTAAAAAAAAAAAAAAAAAAAAAAAAAAAAATACACTTAAGGTATTCAATCCCTAATGGGAACAAATTCAGTGAAATTGAAAACATAACTGATATGTATGGCACTGAATACTCAGATTATTTAGACATATTTCCCATGTATTACTATTAGTATGTTTAGTGGGATGTGTCCCAATTTATGACCTTGAGTTTTGGTGAGAGTTATCTCCCCTTATCATAATTAATAAAAAAAATCAATTAAAAAAAATTAGTCGGTAAAAAAATTGTTTTCAATTGCCATTCTATTTTTAATGTTTCAACGCATCTTTACACCGCAGGATTTATTGATATTCAAATTATTTGAATTTTTATTTTGAAAAAACATTTTTACCCATAGACTTCAATGCAATATTTGTTAATCAACTACTGCTCAATTAACATTGACATTTTCAAAAATTTCTCGGGGGCAATCCTTTTCCACTATAAAATGCTTTAATATAATATCAGTGTATCGTGTACTCGACGGACATTTAAGGGTAGGGAATTACATGTAGGTCCCATTAGGGATGGAAATCCTTAAGCCTATTCTCTTACAAAAAGTTCATTTTAATTTTAGGACAATCCTTGCTGTAATTCTTATTTCATGCATATCAATATGATTCAGGGTTTTTGAAATCCTAAATATTGACATGCAACCTTAAAAAAGTACAAAAATAAATACATTTTTGGGGAAATTGAATCCTGTCTACCCTAAGATACTAATGTTTAATAGCATGATCCGAATTTAAAATTGATCATTGAAGTATTACAATTAAGTCACACAGATTTTACACTATATATTTATCATATCTAACTATTAAAATAAATAGAACTTAACTAATACAAAAGTATTTATATAATAAACAAATGTCTGGATACTCTAAACTAAAATTGTTGATCAATTTTCAATAAGAAAGTACACAGCGGGTGCTAGTGCTTTTCATTGCATTTCCTGAATGTAAATTTGAGATGTAACTATTTTTCTTATATAACATGATAAAATCTATATTGATGAACCTTGAAAAAAATTCCTTGGGTAAAAATACATTTATCTAATGAAATTAGTGAGTGACAATTCAATGATAATTTTTCATATTTTTCAAAACCCAAGAATCGGAGTACTTTTCAGCTACAATGCCAACATCTTGTATTCTTGTAATTTTTTTTTAGATTATCTTTCTTTACTAAGACAATGTTATCTGGTTGGCCTCCATTTTAAACAAAACTTACTTAGGCTATATGTTTTGGTTCACTCACTTTTACATTCATCCAAAAACGTAATTATATAATTATAAAAACCTTGTAAAATTTCTGTCAAATTAATTACTAATGCTTCATCTGTTATTAAGATTAGGATTTAGATTATGGAGACAAACATTTTTATTACAACAAAATATCACAATAGACTTATATTTATATAGGTTCGATATATAATGTTAACCAAGGATAATATGAAAATTTTGTAAGATTTTGAATTTTTAAAAGAATGTTGATTTTTATTTTTTTTTTTAAATCTAAATATAAATTTAAAATATTTTTTAATAAAAATAAAAGGAATTTTTTTTTATTATTTCCTTAAAAATACAAAGGGAAAAAGTTTTGTGGATTTTCCTCGAAAGCAACACTACATGCATGTCTATATTTAAGCACCAAAACAGTGTAAGGTGTCCAATTTATTTTTACGTTAGGGATTAATTATTGATTTGATTTCTATTCAAAATATATACAAATCCATTTGTCAATATTTGTTTGCTTCTTATTTATCCAGGAAAAATTGTATTTTTCTTAATTTTTTCAAAATATAAACACTGAAGAATATAAAAATAATCAATTTCGTCTTTTTTCAACTTACTTTGGACTTGCCACGGTAAATATGATATATGTACATCTTTGAGATATTGTTTGAACTCCTGAAAATGATAATTATACATGTCTTTAAAGTTTGCTTCAAAATAGATCAATGATATAGCTGCATTGCAAGTATACACTAAACCTACGATAGATCAAGGAATACAGTGTACTTACACTCTTCAATGTTGGCAAGTTATTATTTTTAGGGTCAAGAACGATCAATATCTTTTTCAGATTGGTTTCTTTGAATTCCTTTGCAAATTTGTCGATTCCATAAACAATGCTTTCAACTGCTTCTTTGATTGGGAATCTCATCGATCCTGTTCCGATTGCAGGAAATGCCATTGAATTTATTGTTTTTACATCGTGTGCATTTTTAAGACAGATATATACAAAGTTTTCCAACATCTATAATAAGAAACGAAAATATTTTTTTTAAACAATCAATGCTTTCGAAACATGCTTTTTGATATAGGAAACTCTAAAAAAAATCTCACAACATGAACGGACAGCATCATATACTAACATCGCTTGGAGTTTGACTTTGGTACAACCTGGAATACCAGCCAGATAGGTAGCCATGATATACTTGTTTACACTTCAATTGATGTCCACCAGTAATGACATATTGACCATAATCTAATTCTCTCGTAAGCAAATTTGAAATTTCTGTTGCCATTCCTTCGCCAGCTGCTTTCAGGATAGCAGATGCTACACCTGTATTTGCATTTGGTTTAAGATTACTTGTGGATGTGTTCACAAGCACGTCGACCTGAAATGATTTATATTTATGAAGAAAACAATTAAGGAATGACTCTAATTCTTGGCCATATTATCGAGTATAATCTGGTTTGGGTCAGTTTACGCTTTATAATACGCGAAGCGGATTATAAAACAGCGTAAACTGACCCAAACCAGATTATACTCGATAATATGGCCAAGAATTAAAGTCATTCCTTATAATTTAATTTTAAAACAATTAAACAACTTTGGATGTAAAATTGTGTTGCTTTTTATAAGTTCAAATTTACCGCGCAATAATACAACCGTAATAACGGAAGTGATTTGAAGCGAGGGGAGGTAATAACTGATACATAGATCTTGCAGCCATGATGTTTGTTTACACGAGGTAAGAACGAGTAATTGTTTAAAGTTGAAGGTACATTTATTAAATCTGGAATTTTCCATGGATTCCGAGGACTGGAAATGAGGGGATTGCATGGATATGATGATTAAGCTGGTCGTCAAGGGGGTGTGTCCCCATACCAAACCAGATTATACAAAATGTTATGCGTTCCTTTTTGGAAATCAACCAATGAGAGGCGAGAATACAAATAAAATTAAATTATATAGAAATAGAGCTTAAACATCCATTGAAACAATATCAAATCGGAACAGAGCAAGCTCGGACCTCTAAAACAGAAGAGGTGGGGTCAAATACCATGGAGGAGTAAGCATCCCCTGTCCATCAGTCACATCCGCTGTGTGATCTTTGTCTTGAAAAAAGAAAAATTCGTAGACAAATCAATGTTAAACTACATCTAATGAACTGCGTAACAAGAGATGTTTGTAAAAATGCCCCCTCCCCCAATTGGAATTTTTGAAAGTCCACAAGGGCATAGCTCTGTCAAAAAGGGCGTGATCGTACCCAAAACAGAACTTGATCTAGATATTCATCTGATAAATCTGTATATTAAATTTAAATCATTTCAGTATGTGCAACCTCTGTGAAGAAAATGAACGGAAACTGCAAATAATTGGAATTTTTCTAAGTCCAAGGGGCATAACTCTGTCAAAAATGGCGCGACCGTATCCAAAACAGAACTTGACCTAGATATTCATCTGATAAATGTGTATATTAAATTTAAATCATTTCAGTATGTGAAACCCCTGCGAAGAAAATGAACGGAAACTTCAAATAATTGGATTTTTCTTTGGTCCAAGGGGTATAACTCTGTCAAAAATGGCGCGACCGTACCCAAAACAGACCTAGGCTTAGATATTCATCACATATATCTGTATACTAAATATCATTTCAATATGTGCAACCTCTGCAAAGAAAATTAACGGAAACTAAATGGACCGACAGACAGACAGACCGACCGACAGACAGCAGCAAAGCAATATGCCCTCCCTTCTTCGAAGGGGGCATAAAAATATGTATGACGATAATCAGCATTTCATTTCATGGTAGATTAAATTTGCTGACAATGTCAGTGTTTCGAGCATATTCACTGTAACTCTTTGCAATGTGTTGATTGTAAGGGAAATTTAATTTAATTGTTTCATCAACGTAATTATCAATACTTTTTGTAAAATGGTTATTCATAGAGCATGATCTGGCGTATGAGAGACATAAACTCAATACGCAGATAATAGTGATAAAATGATATTTTGCAAAGAGTTGTTGACGATATAAAATTTGAAACTCGTTCATCTGTTAAGTGGTAAGGGTATCATTAACGTCTTTTTAGTGAAATAGATATGCCTCAGACTCTGTAATTTTTTTTTGGCTTGAAAGAGTACTGGCAGTATACTTAATCTAATTTAGCAGTGAATGAACATGATATTATTGCATGAAAAACGTCAACGATATCGACATGTTGAATTTAGGGCCAAAGAAGAGACTTGATTCTTTATTATAAACAGTATATAAATATCCCATAGGAGAAAATATCCAATCTGATATTTTTTCTCCCATTGAAGAATGGTGAGATAGTTGTTTGGACTGCAAATCCCACCATTCTCCCATGGGATTCTGACTTTAAATAATGTGATGTTTGTGAGTTCAACATGAGACCCTGTGGATACTGCTATAAATTCCCACCAAGTGATATAAAAATATTTTGGATATCCCAATTAGAAATAGTTACTAGTAAAAAGTCTGGACAATGTCGTGTCCAGAGTTAAATGTCGTACTGTTATAATCTCCGCTTGAAAAGTGGGAAGGTATATAGTGTTCGAGGTGTCCG